TGTCTGCAACCAAAACCTTGTGGTATCTGCATATATACCTCTTCATGTAAATCACCTTGTAAGAAGGCATTATTCACATCTAATTGGTGCAATTCCCATTGTTTAATGGATGCAAGAGCAAGCAACACTCTCACTGTTACCATTTTTGTGACAGGAGCAAAAGTCTCATGGAAGTCTAGTCCTTCAATTTGTGTGAAGCCTTTGGCCACCAACCTGGCTTTATACCGTTCAACTGTCCCATCCGGTTTGAATTTAACCTTGTATACCCACTTCGAATCAATTGCACGTTTACCTGGAGGCAATGTCTCAATTGTCCAAGTACCATTCTTCTCAAGTGCAGTGATCTCATTCCTCATTGCTTCTCGCCATTTTTCATGTTTGATGGCTTGAGAAAATGTTTTAGGCTCATCTATAGAGGATATGGCTGCAAGATAGGTCTGATGAGGGAGTGAAAAAGAATTATATGAGACACAGTTAGACAGAGGGTATGACGTACCTGAGTTGGTTGACTGTAATGGAGCTTTTGTGGGCTGAAGGGATGTGGGCATGGTGCAGACATAGTCATCAAGATGCTGAGGAGCACGTCTCTCTCGTTGTGGTCGTTGGACGGGAGCAATAGGGTCAGTAGTTGGGTTGGTTTCCCAATTAGTGATAGTGTTTTCAACGGGATCAACCTCATTGTCTTCTAAGGGAAGTGTATCATGAGTTTCTATGCTTGGTTGCAAGATATTAGGAGTAGATGATGCCATGTGATCTCCAACATTATGAATGGATGCATATGGAAAAATTTTCTCATAAAAAACCACATCTCGTGAAATAAAGATTTGATTGCTTTCTAAATCAAAAAGTTTATATCCCTTTTGCCCAAAAGGATAGCCAATGAACACACATTTTGTTGCTCGAGAATCAAATTTTCCACGATCCTTAGAGTGATTGTGTGCATAACAAAGGCACCCAAACACTCTTAAATGTGAATAATTAGGAGCCTTTTGAAAAAGTTTTTCAAATGGTGTGAAATTTGAAAGCACAAGTGTAGGAGTTAAATTGATTAAGTAAGCTGCAGTGAGGATACATTCCCCCCAAAATCTTAATGGTAGATTGGCTTGAAATCTTAAAGCTCGTGCTACCTCAAGAAGGTGACGATGCTTTCTTTCGACAACCCCATTTTGTTGAGGTGTATATGTGCATGTAGTTTGTTGTATAATTCCCTTCTTAAAGCAAAATTCCTTCACTTGCCCTTCAGTGAATTCTTTACCATTGTCACTTCGAATCTGTTGCACATGAGTGTGAAATTGGTTTTCCACCAGATGACAAAAATTTATCAAATATGATGCAGTTTCAGATTTGTGCTTTAAAAGATACACCCATGTGCAGCGTGAAAAATCATCCACAATGGTTAAAAAATAATGTGCACCAGTGTTAGATGGAGTGGCATATCTACCCCATATATCACAATGAATTAAGGCAAAAGGATGAGCAGATTTATTATTGCTAATAGGAAAAGGTAGTCTTGTTTGCTTAGCTCGATGACAAGCATCACAAACATGTTTTGTTTGATTTGAACATGAAGGTTAGGAAGATATTTTGGCTAGTCGTTTTGTAGGTGCATGCTCAAGCCGTTGATGCCATAACTCCAAGGATGTGTCCTCCTTCTTGGTATGACTAGTGGCTGCTACATGCCCAAAATCACAATAGTAAAGCCCATCACGAAGCTTACCCATTCCAATCAACCTCCTCGAGGCTAGGTCCTGAAAGACACAGAAATCAGGGAAGAAAATTACAGCACAGTTAAGTTGCTTTGTTATCTGACTGACAGAAAGAAGATTGCATGTAAAATGAGGGACACACATAACATTTTCTAGAGTAAATTTATCTGACAGAATGGCTTTCCCTAAATGAGATGCATCTAGGGTGGATCCATTA